CCATATCCCGACTATGGCAAGCTACCACACTTCCATTATCTCTCTGGATACAGCTGGATGGTGTATGATTTTCCATGATAGTAAGGGGGACCTTGGACCAAAAATTCTGCATCGTATTTTCATTGATGATTTCGTTTCCAGGATACAACCTTGTACCTTGACGCTATTGCTGTGGATACGTTTTGCAGAGAGAAAGAATCGAGATTTTGATCAAGTTAGGAAAATGTGTTTATACTTTCATTTGTCCTCGGACTACATAGCTGAATCGCAATAAAAAGTGAATTTCGATTTTGAGTTGCCTCTACCGTATAATTTTTGCGGCGTTGGGAGTAATTGTATTTTCAAATTGGGCATCGAGGCTCAGCTAAACTATTGTATTTTCTCCTAACGGGCTCTTTATGCAAGGCGACTTGACGTTCCACAAATCTGCATTACGATGACAAATGTATTCACAGCCAAATGTTCTACACTTCAATCTCTTTCGTCGAATTTCGCCAAGGTAAGAGACTAATGCTTTTACTTGATCCTAACGGGTTTTATAACTTTCATCCAGGGTCTAGTTGTTCGAAGGCCGCTTGGCGCTAACCTAGGGTTATATTTTAATCCAGGTTTCTCATTTCTCTGTTCAATAGCCTTTAGGGAATTTTTCCTCTATATTTTTTAGAAAATCCAATAATCAAATTCTAGACAAAAGCCTTTAAATGGAATTTTCTGTCGAAGCTTTCAGATCTGAAATAAAATTTCACACTAACCTTGCGTCACCTGACTTTGAACAACCCGGCCCAGAACTGGAGGAGTTTTGCTAGTAATCGTTAAAAGATCCTAAAATGAGGAAGCCGAAGCGACGCAAATGGCTGGCGTCTATGCAAATCGATCGCAAATGCAAGTAGTCCCTGATACAGGAAAACTGTTATAATTAGGGTCTAATCAAAGATTTAATCGCTTTAACCCAAGTCAGGAGCCTAATGGGTTCCTGCCCAAGAATAAGATTTACCGTCCAATTTATATCTCTTTCTAAAAGCGATATTAAAAGGGACCTTAAGCAGTCAGGACAGCAATACCAAGGAAGACAACGGTTAAAAGATACATTTTCTGTTGTAAGTTAGAATTTCGAAAATGGCTGCATGTGTTTACCGTCTCTTACGGTGCTACAAATCAACTTCAGCATAACTTACATAAGCAGTGTTGAGTTCCAAATGGAAATACAAAACATTTGCCGTCGCGGCTTCCGTTCGCAGACGACGCAAATGTTGGCGATTTTATGCTGTTAAGGACCTTTATTACATCCATTTTGAAATCACTGGTGGTCCCTGTAATCTGATTGGCTCTAATTGGTGTGATTTATTCCCAAATCGCACCATTTTTTGCTCTAAATCGCATCATTTTACGCTTGACTGAGTTTTTGACACATGATGTCAAAGTCTTTCTGTTTTGCATACAAAATAAGATGTAAACGCGTTTCTGATTCCACTTTTTATTTAAAAACCGGCTCAGTACTGCATCAGTAAAATATTTGAATTGACCAAGTCCTGTATTTGGGCGATTTCAAAATGGATGTAATAAAGTGGTAATTGAACCTCGTGTCGTGCAATTTTGGTCTGAAATCATACTTGTGATTTCAAATTGAACTCGCGCTGCGCGCTCGTTCGATTTTGAAATCACGCGTATGATTTCAGCCCAAATTGCACTCCACTCTGTTCAATTACCATTATTAAGCAGTCTGGACGGAGACGCCAAGAAAGATTTCGATTAAAAAATTATAATCTACCTTTAATTAGAATTAGAATTAGATTTAATTAGATTTTCAAAAATGTCTGCATGCGTTTACCGTTTCATACGGCGCCACACCTCAACTTCAGCATAATGTATAAAAGACGCGTCAAGTTCCAAATGGAAATTAAAATAACTTGCCGTGGTGTATTCCATTTGCAGACGATGCAAATTTTGATGATTTCACGTTGTTGTTTTGCATAGGACGGCTAAGAAATGTACAGAGTTTTAAAACGCACGCGCTGAGCTATTGTTCTGCCAATTAGATCTTTTGTTTTTCCACATCCTCGTTGCCGTCGCCGTCGGGGTTTGCTGGAGGTCTCTGTTGTTTTGAAGAGGACGGCTAAGAAATGTAAAAAAAAATTGTAAACGCACGTGCTGGCTATTGTTCTACCCATTAGTGCGACTCGACCAGCCAAGGGATGAGCTAAGCATTGAGAGTTTTAAGAACTGCACCTGCCTATACATGGCCGAGCAAACCGAGGCAAATTAAGTTTAGCGCTAATCGTTTCTTCAAAGTGTTTCAAGAGTAGTACTTTTTCAGCTTCGCTGGCAATCGAAGTATAAACATGACTTTCTGCACAGGTAACCGGTAAAGTCGCCCGAGAGACATCTCGCCTGAAGTCGTGTCGTCTGAAACCTGAGTCATGTTGCCCAAAATTTCAGCCATGTCGCTCGCTAAAAAAAGTCAAGTCGCCCGGAGAAACTAATACAAAACAAATTAGACTTACAGACTGTAAATGGGCAATAAGTTAAAAATCTTTGTCACTAAAGCATTCCTTGTCTGCGACAACATCATTAACTGAAGATTCTAAAAGCGTTGCTCACTTCTAAGAACAAAAGGGAAACGTTGTACGTTTCTAACTACAAATTGTTCGTTTTGCACTCACAGATATTTCGTGAAGTTGAGAAACTTGATCTTGGTCTTTAACGACACCATCGATCATATAATCAGAATTGAAATATGTTTTAGTAAGGATTCTAAAAGCGTTGTTCATTACTAATAACAAAATGAAGCGTTATTCGTTGAGTATGTACTCGTTTCGCACTCACAGACATTTCGTAAGATCGGGCGACGAGACCGTAAACCTCTGAAAGTATAACCATGCGTTTTCTTTCAACAAATACGGACCCAACTTTTGGTACATCATTGCTGTAAATGTGCTGTAGTTTCAAAAAGAATATGGCTACGGATCTTGATAATGACGACTAAATATTATTGACAACATTGGGAACGGAGAAAAAGTCAGGATAATCGAGGTCCGGTTCGACTGTACTCCAAGGAGTTTTATTGATTTCATCTTTTCATTTCGTTCCCTTTAAGATTGATATTCAGGTTATCGTTCAGTTGAGCACAATCTGTACCGAAGTTGCCTTCTAAGAGGGTGCTGTCGTTCCAGTCCCCAGGACACCTTTAATAAATGATCAGTTTTCATGTAACTGGTGGTCATCGGCATACATGGATAGACTTTAGAATTCCCAGGTGTAAACTAGATCGTTTTGAGAAGTTTCCTATAAAAGCGATTCTAATGCAGACCCTGGAGGACAACTCCGGCTTACAGTTTTCCATGTGCTATCGGTAATCATTCGTTGAGCCCGACTTTACGCTATCATTGTGGCGTTCACAGCAGTAGCCGTTCATTGTCCCGATAGCTTTACGTTATGGCAACAAAAACAAACACGGCAACCCATTCTTAACATATATTTCGTTACAGAAAAAAAAGAAACGCAAACGCGACGATCTCAACATTCAGTAACGGGAGTTTTTTTGTTCCAATCTCCACGTGAACAACCCAGGCAAGAAACCGTCTCAACCAGTCTTCGTCAAAATCTTGGCTTGATGTACGCGGTTCTCCTTGTTATTGCCGCACTCACAACTTCCATTTCTTCTTTACCACTTGAGTACGATGTGTCACAACTCCCGATCGGTAGAGCTTTTTTTGCCGCAGGTATGTCTAAGTCGGAGAGTATTTCAACGCGAACTAATACAAAATTACAAGAGATGTGAAAGAAGTGTCAACTGAGAGCCTTCACAGTCTTCTACTACCAGTTAACTCGTTAACAGTCTTCGAGACAAAATAAGAGCACTTTTGGGCACGAAAAAACCGAGTTTTACTTCTTAGAACTTTTTTCTATCGGAATTGGTTTCTATATACGGTAAACTAAATAACTGAATCCGCAAAAAACTTTTCTTGTAAGAGGCACTCTAAATTTTGGCAAAATTTGATGTGTTTTACCTCATTTATGTCCTGTTGTAGACAACCTGAGCACTTTTTAAATTAGCGCTTTTTAAATATTTGATCACCTTTTAATGAATGTCACGACTTTAACATAATTGCTCACATGGTTATACTAGAAATAGACAATAGTACATTAGCATACGTACCTCAATTTAATGTCTATTTTCGTGTTGAACTCTCACTCGTTAGATATCGAGTTGAACAGAAGGAGAGAAATTCCACATCTATGTGCGCCCGTGTAATATTTGTTTCATTACATTGAACCCAAAGGCTTTTGCTGATATAAGAAAAGTCCTCTTTATTCATGGTGAACGCTTTGCCATTCATTCATCAACCTAACAAAAACTCCACAATACTGAAGATAACTTTCATATTATTAAGATGATTTTAATATACTTTTACTTCTTGAGTTTTTAGTTAGCTAAAATACACGACGCCATAAGCGGCAACACTCTAATCACTATGGTATTGAAATAAAAGTTATTGTATCATATTGTATTGACGTAGTGCCTGGGAAGGCGAGTGGTGTGTCTGCAGCTGACACATTTTGATTAGCTGTCAGTAGCTAATTGACGCACCTAAAAAATATCGTAATTTTTACACGTGTGCCGTGACGGCTTTTTCTCAGGGTTGGAAATCCTTTTAAAACACAATAATTTGGATATATCAACAAAGTTGAAATGGTAAATTGGCCACCGTAACGATTACAAAAGCTGACGTTTCGAGCGTTAGCCCTTCGTCGTCACTCCCACCGACGCAACCCCAAACAGTTTCTTTCGAAACCATCAGCCTTTATTCTTTTAAAACACAGCAGATTGTATTTAACAATTATTCCACGAGCGTGCGTTGGATATGAGATGATAGACAGCCAACGAGGCACGTAGCACCGAGTTGGCTATAATCATCTCATATCCAACAAGCGCGAGTGGAATAATTGTTTTATTAAAAAAAAACGCCCCCAAGATATTAGACAAATCTTCTCGACTTTATTTTGTGAGAAGAAACCGGATATAACAATGTACAGAAATTAGATTATGGTATATTGGCTCATATACCATAATGGCTGAGCCAATAAAAAGTCTTGAATTGCATTATCCAATGATCCAGTTTTAACAATATAATTTATGTTTATGTTATGCACCCATATGGAGATCAGCGTAAAAAACGCTGATAACTTATGTAAAAATGTTGTTATCAACAGGTAGAGAGAAACTTGAGACAAACTATTTTCCCTCGAATGACGTTTCCACCCCCAAGGCACCACTTGCTGTATGGAGAACCACAACTGATGGCATGGCGGAACCCACTAAGGAAAGTTCCAGGCTAAAGATACTAGCTGCCAAAATCAACACCCAGCGCGGAATAAATGTAACCAAAAGAGGAACAGAGACAAAGCGTTGGCTAATAGTATATTGGTCAACGTTTTTTGGAAGAAGGCTCAATCTGCACAAGACATTCGACAAACGCGACTGTCCAGTATCGTGTGAGTGGACAAGTGACCAATCCAGAGCAAAAGAGGCAGATGCCTTTTTAGTCCATGGCAGGGATCCACGACCAGACCCTCCCATAAATACTGTGCCATGGATTCTGCAGACTCGAGAAAACCCAATTTACACACCGATATTGAAGAACGCCAGCTTCATGTCCAAATTTAGCTACTTGAAAAGTTATCGGTTGGACTCAGACTTTCCAGATCCTTCTGTCTTGCTGCCTGGTGTACAACCCCCCGTTCCTTTCAAGAATAAAACTGGGCTGATTATGGCGGCTTTCTCAAATTGTGAAGCGGTTCGAACCGAGTACATGAGGCAGCTGATGAAGTTTGTAAAAGTTGACTCTTTCGGCGCCTGTCTAAAGAACAATAATGGCCTAGTGGGCAGGTATGGTAAAAACAAACAGGGCACTGATTTCAGAGATGCTAAATCCATACTGGCCAGACAGTACAAGCTTACCCTGGTGTTCTTCAATCAAGACTGTGATTATTTTGTCGATGCTCAACTACACCACGCAAGGGATGCAGGCTCGGTTCTCGTTGTCATGGCAACAGATAAGCCGGATGAGTTTCTACCCGGGCCTTATCTTAATGGTTCAGTGATAAAAGTGCGTGATTTCAAGAGCCCACAGCTGTTGGCTGAATACCTCAAGTATCTTAGCAACAACGAAACCGAGTACAATAAATACCTGGAGTGGAAGAGGAAAGGATATGGCGACATCACTAGAACTGCTATCGGAAATTTTTGGATGCCAAAGTATCCGCTATATTGTCAAGTCTGTGTTGCAATGTCAAAAGGGAAAGGGCACAAAGAAAGCTTGAAACCATTCCCATGCAAAGCAAGGCAATTTGAAGACTGGGGAATTACTAAAGGAGCCTGACTAAAGTGAACTATTGTCAGTTGTAGAGGACACCGTTAACTTGGGAAAAAATAGGGCGGGATTTATCACTCTTAAATGCATTTTCTCCAATCACAGCATGAGAATGTGTGAGCGGAGCGAGGCAGGGAAGCGTAAGCTTTTCTAAAATAGGGGTCGATTTATCTACAATATCAATCAAGATTATTTTCGGAAACTTACCGGGCCTGAAATGATGTTTGCCTTTGAAATGATAAAACCGTGAGTCATCTGCGTTTTCCTTCGAAGTGGTGACCTCGAAGAGTTGTTAGTTGCTTTTAAAATCTCATTAGCCAGTTAGCCTTACACACCCTAACATCAGTATGCATGTTCTCCCTACTGTTCTGAATACATTTCCTCGGGTGCTGACAAGGAGAATTTGTTTAACAATCAAGAGCTTCTCTAGTTGGTGATCATTTCTTAACTCTCATAACCTCAATTTTTGATTGAGGTATTGTATGGAGAAATTAGATGCTAGTCACTCTTAGGGATCAAAGAGTTTAGCAGTCAATTGTACCCTTTGAATGGCCTTTTGAATCGATCAATCCACGTAATGCGGATGTTATCTAGAAGTTATTCCAAAGGAATAAGTATCGTTTTTATAAACACGGGTTTGGGAAATGAGCAAGAAAAAGTGGTAGGTGCGAGAATACTAAAAGAAGCTAGAGCTACTTTCGGTTACTCCATTAATAACTCTTATGGTTCTTCCGTCTATCTCAAATTTCCCACGAGCATCCATAACTCCAACGCTAAAGATAAATCAATTTGTAAGTACGTAGTTTATAGTTTCTAGCGGTCAGGAAATATTAGAGGAAAAAAATTTTTCCAGGTCAGAGAAAAAGCAGGGAATTACGTCTTTGGAAGAGGTCAGGGAAAAGTGAAAAATGAAATCGTACACTTCCTTTTCCTTCTATTTTCATTGCTTTCTTCCGGTTCGAATTCTTTGGAAAATTTGTTGGATTGGTAGAATATTGGTCACCCTACCCTAGCTAAGCACCGGGCTAGCCGTAACCAAATTGTGAATGCCGGATAAACAACATAAATTTTTCTTTTTTAGAACTGTCTCTATCATTAGGTACCGGGCTAAACAACAAAAATAACGGCTGACATGGATCACATAAAAACGTCAGTGAAGATGGAATATAGTCTTTCAAGCCAAAAAATAAGTGTTCCCTTATCCTTAAAACTTGCTCCGCTTGTGCACTTGAAGTAAACGGTCATGTCTCTTCATATGTCCTTAACAGTCTCCACGGTTACCCTTGCTACACAACCATGCTATCTAGAGGTGAATGTAGCCGCTGAGTAATTTGGGGCGCATTCTCTGAGAGAGCATGTGAGCCGAATGCAACATGGCTTCCCGCCATGTCGATGTCAACGAGCGTCGGCTTCGTCCCGTTTATGGTACTTCTCTTATGCTTTAACAGTTGTAAAGTTCCACATGTAATTTAGGAATGATTTCTGACCCTTTTTGTGGTATATTTTTCAGATGCTTTGGACAGCATGAACAACAAACTGGCTATCCAACTCGCAGACAAAATTTTAAAGAAACAGAAAGACCTGTACTGCGCCAAGGTAAAAGTTATCTTCGAACTGCGTAAATCACGTCAAGTAAATTTGTGATGATGCTAAATATAAATTAACAAGGTAAATTCAGCTCCTTGTTTGAATTGCAGGCTCTTAAAGGACTGGCTTTACTGCGATCAGGAAAAACTGCTGACAGCGAGACTATTATGGAGGAAATTATGGAAGCGAAACCGGCGGACGATCCCACGCTCCAGGCAATGACAATTTGCTACAGGGAGATGCAAAAACGTAAGAAATGTTCAGAGTCGATTTATCAAAGGTTGCTTTCTCCAATTTAATTATTCAGATGAAAACTAGTAAATGAATAAGGTAACAGCAGGTGCCTGTTTCCATGATCCACTACCCACACTTAGTGATTAACCTACAACTTGTCCATACATTGTCAGTACAGTCACCGAGAAACAGACACCGCGGAAATACGTTTTCGTCACGTCACAGTAACTGGTCAGTGGTCATCAACTTTAGGCTGCCAAGTGCTTCCATATGTTTGTAGACTGAGTTCAATGAAGACATTGGCCTTTTGTGTGGTTTTAAGTAGGAAAATATGCATGATACTTCTCCTTGTTTGTTATATTTGATCCTTTGAATGGGTTTTTAATACTAAAACCCCGTCTTAACAATTAGCGGTATAGGGGAGTCATTTTGTTTGGAGTTGTGTGCTGTTTGCTGACTTAGACTGGCCGTCCAGTTAGGAAGTGTGATCTTGGTTCTTCAGTCGCCCTCACCTTCAGAATTGTCAAAAACAGCGATAGTTATCTAGACAAAGCAGGAGATTAGTTCTGTAAGATACTTTTCCAGCGAGTCTGAAGACTGGTTGGATTTTTAAGTGTTATTAGCATGAAGCGATACAAGTAATTATTGTGTTGTGAAAATATTCATACACTCACTTTGCGCTGATGTGCGGTGCTTTTTCATTTTGGTAATTATTCACTTGGTATAGAATTTTACCTTTACAACAACAACAACAATTTTTATTTATTCTAATTTCTAATGACTAATGACTATTTTAACAAATTGGACATGCCCACAGGTAGCTAGCTAATCGAGGTGTGTCATGTCTTAACTAAGAAAAAAGGTTGGTATACAAGTTTACAGAAATCAGGAAATTAATTAGAGAGAATAAGTATACAGGTTTACAGAAATCAGGAAGTTAAATAAAAAGAGTAGGTATAAAAACAAAGATACTACAAAAATACAAAAATAGTACAATT